GCAAAAAAATAATGGCAAAGAGCAAGCATGCTGGAGGCAAATTCTTTTGAGTTAGCATGATAGCTTTGCTGTTTACAGGCTGTGTGACCACAAACAGATTATTTAATCTTATGCTTTAGGTGTTTGTTTGTTTCTTTGTTTCTTTGTTTGTGGTAAAACAGGGGAAAGATTCACACTCACCTTAAAAAACTGTTTAGTGGTTAGGGCTTGGGACCATTACTGAACACTATGATTCAATGATTGTGATGAGCTCTCTAGGAAGAAAAAGAAGCTTCTTTTTCTGTGCTGCTGTGTTATCGAGTACTGACATGAGTTAAGGTGTAGCCCTCCAACAACTGTTTATAACACCATGTCCATGAGATTATAAACTCCGTGAGGGCAACAGCAACCTGCTATTGCCATTGCACCATCCCCAAGTAGGGCATGGTGTCAGGAACAAAGAGGTTCAATCAATTCTGCCATGGCGCTGATTCTGAAATGCAAATTTGTTCAAACACAACTGATAAATTAGGGAACTGAGCAGTGTGAATTTTGTGCCTACATGGGAGTCCTTTTTTTGTTTGGTTGATTGGTTTTTTAATACAGGATCTTCCTGTAGACCCAGCTGGCCTGGAACTATGTATACCAGACTTGCCTCAACCTCTCAGAGATCCGTGCCTCTGTCTCCCAAGGGCTGGAATCAAAAGCAGGCATGTGCTACCGCCCCTGGCTGGGATTGCATTTTTTAGAAACTAGGTAAATACAGAAAACCCACCCGAGTGAACCTGAGTAGGAAACCTCAGTATGTACACAACCTCAAACATCTGTCCACTACCTCAGCTTTTCATTTATGAAATAACTTCAGTCAATTTAGACAAGCCTCCTTCACAGCAATTCACAACCTGTTTCCAACATGCATGGCTATCGGGGAAACTCAAGTTCTTTCTCAAGGTGTATACCATATTTAGTATTTGCATACTTTCTAGCCATTTAATGTCTAAAACAATTCTACCACTTTGTGTGTGTCTGCATGTATGTGTGTGTGTGTTTGTGTTGTGTTGTGTGCACATACTTATGAGGGTTAGAGGTTGACATCCAGGGTCTTCCTTGATCTCCATTTATTTACTAACACAGGGTCTCTTGCCGAATCTTGAATCCACCAATTCCAGCTACTCTAGGCTAGCCAGCTTGCTCCAGGGATCCCGTGTCTGCCTCCCAAGTGCTGTGATTACAGGTGGGCCACCACACACCTCTGGCTTTTACATGGGTGCTGAGAATCCAAACTCCCGTCTTCATGTTTGTGTGGCAAATACTTTATCTGCTAAGCACCCTCCCTAGCCCCCAATCCTACCATTTTTATTAGGTTTTCTTTTTTTCATGTGTCACTGCTGTTTGGGGATGCTATAGCCCTACTCCCATTTTCTTATAAGCCCAGTAATTTTTATTGTGATTTTTCAGAGTTGTGGTCATTTTAAAGAGAAAGACTTACACTCAGTAGTCTTATGGTTGATAAAAAATAACACTTTCTCCATGGGCATGTAACACTCCTAAAACTGTACTGGGTAATAGCTGTACTTGTCCTCCTAGGCTAGTGGGCTAGTAGCTCTGCCCTACAGTTGAAAGTAATAAATACTTATTCATAGCCAACTGCATGCAGAAAATGTGAAGCGGTGAAGTTTACGTGATTAATGAAAAGCAATGCCAGGAACTCTTCTACTCCAGTGGGAAGTGAGAGACAGCCATTACCATAGACTGGGGTAGATGCTATTAAAGAATTTTGCAGTCTTGCCAACTTATAAGGATCAGCAAGGACTGGTGGAAGTGCTCCTCTTTCCCAGATCTTTCCACCTGTCTTCCCTTGCTTGTCCTCTTCTCTGCCTACTTACTGAATTTGCTGTCTACGATCACTGAGCAAAGAGGCAGCACAGGAAAGTTACTGTGGCTCAGGTGGGAGGAATAGGGCCCTGAGGGATGCAGGCAGAACAGTCACATAAAAGGCTCCAGAGGCACTGGTTAAGGCAAAGAGGCTGCCAGCACTCGGCGCTCTGCTGCTGCTTTCTTCCTTGCTCCACACCGCAGCTTCTGCTGAGGCCAGATTCTGAATGGGACTCCGTCTACTTCCCCGCCTCCTCCATCAGAGGTGTTTCGTCTTCACGTGATTACTTCTCTGGATCTTCTGCCATTTCCTCCCTCCGCTGCCTGCTCTTCGTGGTACCCCAAGAACAAGACTCTAGCAGAACCCCCTTCTGGATCCAGAAGAATGAAGCTTCTCTTTCTCTGCGGCTCCCTACTCCCAACTTCAACTTTCCACCTGATCTTTGAGATTTCTACATCAGCATCAAATCCAAAATAATGTAAGCACCCCATAAACCCACCAAATTTTCCCATCACCCCAGGCACCTGCTTCACTCCAAATCCCATTTGTGCCCCCATAATAGCTTCTCCCTTTTCTTCTGTTCTGCCTCCTTGCTTCCTGGACAGTTGGTGCCCAAAATGTTCATTCTAGTAAACACTTAAGATCACTGTGTCTACCCCTATCACAGAACAGAGAACACTGAATTCAGAGGTCCTTCCCAAAGATATAGTCAATGACAGGGTCCTCCCCACACACCAGCTTTCTCCCCATATACTGAGACTAAGAATGATTCACCCTGACAGAGAAAGCATTCATCTGGGCTCTACCCTCTAATCTCATAAGGGAGGATGAACTGCCCCAGCCAGCGCAGCAGACACCCACGTCCACAACTCTTTCTCACCACCACTGCCGAACTCTCTGCAACACTTAGGGATTCTGAGGAACAAAGAATTCTTCCATCATAGCTAGGGTTGTGACCTTAATTATTCATCCAACCCTGCCCCCACCAAAGCAAACACTATGCTCCTGTAATATTACTTGTCCTTTACCAAACCTCTACATACACCGTGGATGGGTTGGTACTACAGTGACATCCCCAGGACCTCTCCTTCTGCCATTCTCCCATCAGGAACAATGCCAATAAGCCCTATACTTCATCCTCTACAGGATGGGAGAAATCCTGAAGCCCAACTCCACCTTCCTGCACCCAACTTTCTTCATACTGACTGGCATCCCAGGTTTGGGGGATGCCCAGGCCTGGCTGACGCTGGTGTTTGGGCCCATGTATCTGTTGGCCCATTGGGAAATGGAGCACTTCTGACAGTGGTGAAGATAGATTCTACGCTGCACCAGCCCATGTTTCTACTCCTGGCCACACTGGCAGCCACAGACCTGGGCTTAGCCACGTCGACAGCCCCAGGGTTGCTGGCTATACTGTGGCTAGGGCCCCGACCTGTGCAGCATGCTGCCTGCCTGGTCCAGATGTTCTTTGTACATGCATTGACCGTTGTGGAATCTGGTGTGCTTTTGGCCATGGCCTGTGATCGTGCTGTGGCAGTGGGGCATCCCCTGCACTATTCTCTCTTGGTTACTAAGGCCCGTGTGGGCTACAGTCTTGGCACTGGCACTGAAAGCTGTGGCTCTTGTGGTGCCTTTCCCTCTGCTGGTGGCACGATTTGAGCACTTCCATGACAAGATCATCCGCCATGCCTACTGTGCACACATGGCAGTCGTAGAGCTGGTGGTGGGGAACACACAGGCCAACAACTTATATGGGCTGGCCCTTTCCCTGGCTGTGTCTGCTGTGGATATTCTAGGCATCGCTGGTTCCTATGGGCTCATTGCTTATGCTGTGCTTCAGTTACCCACCCAGGAGGCCCGGGCCAAGGCCTTCGGTACGTGCACTTCTCACATCTGCATCATCCTGGCTTTCTATGTGCCTGGTCTCTTCTCCTACCTCACACACGGCTTCGGGCATCACACTGTGCCAAAGCCCTTGCACATCCTTCTCTCCAACATCTATTTGCTGCTTCCACCTGCCCTCAACCCTCTCATCTATGGGATCCGCACAAAGCAGATCAGGGACCGACTCACTGAAATGTTCACATTCAGAAAAAAGCAGTTTTAGTGAACAGTGAAGACAATGGGAACTTGGGGTGAAGGGGGGTGTGACTTGGAACACAGCTTGGAGTCTGGTGGTGTGAGTTGTATTTTTTCCATGTCTGCAAAGAACTGTGATAACAAGTATTTGCTGTGAAGTCTGTACTGTGCACACCACTGGCATTTGTAGACTTTGGGCTAGCCTTGTGTCCTGCTTGGGAGGAGGCTGAGGCAGAGGGCTGCACGCTGTCATGCAGGGAAAATGAGATGAAGGAATGAGTTTGTAAGATCTTGCCTACCTGATAAAAAGTCTCCCTTTCCTGTCCCCAACCCATCATTTCAACCCAATTCTCACTGTGCTTCTCTGTAGATCCCAAATTTGGGTAACACTGCCTTAGGCATCAAATGGTTAGGGACTTGTCTGGGGTCACAACCCTCTTTGTACCTGGAGCCAGATTCTGTTTTCAGCCTGTCCTCAAGGAGTTATACAGGCTTATCCTCCACATTCTAAGACTGGAAAGTATGCCTTGTAAGGCCAATGTGGCCAGAATATAGAATTGAAGACGAGAATCCTCTTGGTCTTGTACATAATTGCTATTCCTCCTTCCCTCAATCCCAACAAAGTCCTCCAAATAACTAGAACTTCTTTCCCTGGGCCTACACTTCAGGACTCAGGGGTACAAATGAAAAAAACTGATGCAAAGATCACTATTTCACTGCTTGCTTAGGGTTGAGTCGTTGTATCACTTGTCAACCTGCCCTTTTGTGTACCCTCCGTCAAGAATGTAGCCCTGTTAGCTGTCCTGCCCAATGTCACTAAAAGCGTATGATGCTGGTGTAATGATGAAATGTTAGCATTTCACACTGCCGTAGCTGCCTAAGCACAGATATATTAAACAGGAAGTGGTATGGTGTTGCCCAAGGGGAGATTCATTTTCAGCTAAGACTGCAGCATGGAAGGAACACTATAACTCTCTTGCACCAGCATGGAATTCAAGATGAGGCAAGGAGTCATAGTTGTAGGGTCAGAAAAACTGTAGCCTGCGCAGAGACAAACTCAAGCTAAGGAAACTGCCATAACCACAAGTCTTGGTGTTAGCCACAGAGACCTGAAGCAACAGCAACCCACCCCAAAGCTCAGCTAGTTGGACAAGCATCGTGGGACACCACACAGAAGTGCAGACAATGTCATTTCCAGGGCTAAACAGGGGCTCATTTGACCCTTATAAATGGAGGAAGTAACACCACACTGAACCCAAATGGGTAAAGAGACTATCTAGTCGACCCATGTGTGAGTTCAGTTGTTCTCAAAACTCATTTTTTCATATAGGGACGCATTTACACTGAAGGACATTTGGGTACAAACACCTGAATGAATAGGACTCAGCATGTATGGCAGACTGCATAGGCTTTGGTGGGGCAGAAGGCATGGATGGGGGAGGGGTCTGGATGTGAGTGGGAAGTATATGAAATTTTAAAAGCTCAATAAAAAAAAATAAAATAAAAAACTATTTTTTTTTTCATACAGCTGTGAATTTAAAAGCCCACCACACCATGATTTTGTGGAAAAAAATACTAATCCTGGAGCTGGAGATGAAGCCCTCAGTTTGGATCCTGAGCATCTACACAAAAGCCAAATGCACATTTGTAATTTTATGGATCACAAGTTCTTTAAGATGTCTATAGCCTTCTCTTAGAGATTTCCCCTTAGTAAATCTGAGAAAATAATTGCAATGTCAACAAACATGTATGCAGTAAGATATTTATTACATTATAAAGAAATATAAAGAAATTCCTGTGTGATAATCCCATGTCACACATACATACACACACACCATTTTCCCCTCTGAAACATGAAAAAGGAACTCATGTGCAACCAATGTTCACGAGCAATGAATTGTGTCACCCTCCCAGCACAGGAAGACTGTTCTAAGGCACCTTCAACTCTTGTGCACAGTTCCCAAGATAGCTTGTTCCAAGCTGTGTGTTGAGAATGTTCTTTTCTTCAGGCCAAAACTCTACCACCTTGGACTCTGTGTTCTGCTGAACTGAGGACACACATACCTACCACAGACCACGATCAGAGAACTCTGCCAGCTCCTTCTCACTCTTAACCTGAGAATTAGTTATATGCCCACAATCCATTACCTATAATTTCAAAATAAACTATCTTTGAAAAAACAAGGTTTTTTTTCATAACTTTGGCCCAAACCCTAACCTCAACTATTATGATACTATATATAGCCTTTATCTCGTTTAGTGTAAATATTCATATACTTAACTAAGCAAATGTTGATGTGATTGATTACAGGGCCCTGCCCTGAACCCCAACTGAAGATATTTCTTAGTATATGATATAGTCCCTTTGATAATCTGAAAAACTCTCAGTTCTAATCCATATCTATCCCAAAATTTAAAATAAAGAGTCAAGAATTTGAATAATTAGCCTGAAACAAGTTGAAACTTGTTAGGACTCTTTATCACTCTAAAGTGTTTACTGTCAACACTATCTTATAGAGTCTGAGAGAGTCATGCAGAGAATCTCATGTTCCCTGGATAAATAGCCCATCTGTTTGTTCCAATCTCTTTCAAGGTCACCCTTTGATATCCTGCAGGCACTTGGTGCCATATTCCCAAGGATAGACCAGAAGAGTGCCATACTGGAAGCAAATCCCCGGAAGATAGGGCTCAAACAGCCCAACCCTTTGGCTCACCAACTCCATCCAGGTCTCAGTTGCCATGTGTTTTCCTTCAGTATCTTTCAGTCTCAGACTCTGAGCAAAAAGGAAGACAGACTTACTTAATGTTAAGGTAGAACATTCTAGAATTCAGGGAGACTAGAAAATCATGATAATCAGAAAGTAAGAAAAGGCAGAAGATAGAGGCTTCTGAGGAGTTTCTCAGAACCAACTTCTTCTCTGAACCCATGTCCATTAGCAGAAAGTCTAAGAGATCTCCACTTCCTGTCTGACCAGCAGCCTAGCCCTGCACCAGTCTCACCCACCTTCTTCTCATCCTAGACACCCCTGGCCATCTACACATGCATCATTCATTCTCTCCTCTGCGTCCCGGGCACTTCACTGTCTGTGCATTGCAGAAGTGCAGAGGTGCATGGCTCTGCCTGCCATCCCATGTGTCGCTCTCTCATTCCACCTCAACTGTCCTCATCAGAATTCCTTTCTAGAGAACGGAGGTCTGAATTACACTATACTATGCAACCTTTCCTTGTTGACCAGAATGAAAAATGTGCTAAGACAGGTATAATGTGTACACCTGTAAGTGTAGCACTCCAAAGGCAGGGGGCATCACAAGAGGGAGGCCAGCCTGTGCTACATAGTCATACACTGCCTCAAAAACAAAATATTTTTAAAACACAAACAAAATAAAAAGATAACTTGCCTAATATGCACAAGGCCTAGGTTAGATCCCTAATACCAAAAGCGGGAGCAGGGGTAAAAGGGCTGCTAAACAGACCCAAGGAACTTGGTTTCAGTTGCCTTAAGAAACAAGATTTCTCAACTGGCCTGCTGTGCCTTCTCTCTCATCTTGCCCACTTCCCTCTCACTAAACCAAATGCATCTGTCCCACCACACACTAAAGAGAGCCAAGGGAACACAATGACTTCTTTCTTTACCTAAAAGAAACTATTATTTAATGGTTAAAGCTGGAATCCAGCAGGCTTAGATTTGAATCTTGGACTAACTGCATGCCTTAGGCTAATCAACTTTTCTGAACCTTTTCTTCACCGTAAAATGAAGCAATAATGCCTACTGCAAAAAGGTTCCTAAAAAAAGCTGGAACAGGGGTGCACACTTGTAATTCCAGCATTCAAGAGGCTGAAGCAGGAGGACTGCTGTGAGTCCTATGCCAGCCTGTAGCTACACAGTGAGTTCAAGGCCATCCTGGCCTACACAGTGAGGTCCTGTCTCAAACAACCAAAGAAAACAAAAACAAAAGGTTCCTAAAAGGATTGCCTAAAATAATACATTCAGTTTCTGGCACAGACCACAGCACAGAAGAGCCCAACAAATATTTGACATTAACTCCTCTCCTGGAAACAGAACCAAGCCCCACCATCAAACATTTGCTCAAAGACCTGGCGCCCATGCACACTAAGCACTATCTGAGGAGACTTGCCTTTCCCTGAGACCAATTACATTTCCTTGCAGGAATTTTTCTGCTAACACTCTTTCCATCACTGTAGAACCCTTCTGTGTGCACACTCACATGACTCAGATGATAGCCAGGTTTGCAGGACAGTTCTTCAGCCCGGGTCAGGCTCGAAGAGGACACCCCCTGCACACAGAAGCCTTCCTAGGCACAAAGGAGACCTCTAGAGGACCTCAGAAAGACTCCAGAAAGACAAGATACGGAGTAGGAAAATGGCCACTAAAAAGGTTCTAGAGTTCTTTTCTGAAGTCATTTTTCTCCAGAAAAATACTAGGTAAGAGATCAAAGACACATGGCAAGAAAACTGATGATCGAGTAGAAGAGAAACTACTACACATAGGTCAGCCTGGAGCAGGGAGTAGAGCATGAAGAAAGCCCTCCTCATTGTACCTGGGTAATTCTGGCTTCCTGAAAACCTGCCAGTTACTAAGGAAACATTATCCCAGTTAGCTCTTACTCTCCACAGTCAGTGCTCAGCATGGCACCCTCCCACACACACCTGCTTTCCACTGCATTTAGAGCCCACTCATTAATAATTGGTTTCAAACTAGGAACTTTTAGAAGTTATGATTCCCAAGCACACCCCATACGAATTAAATCAGAATCTCTGAGAATAGAAGACAGATCGGTAAGTGTGATGTCTCCCAGTAATTCCAAAGTGTAGGCAAAATTGAGAATCACTGCTTTCATCAGTGTCTTTTTTACATCACAAACTGTAGGAATTTTTATATTTTTTAAATTTATTCTTATTTTATGTGTATGAGTTTTGCCTACATGTGTGTAAATGTACCCATGGTTGAACTAAAGATGGGAAGAGACAGAAAGACACAGAGATGGAGAGAATATGCTGCATTTTCCTCCCCAAGAGCAGGGATAATACAGGAACATGATCCACTCCCAGACTGAGGCAGGATGATCACAGGTTGGAGGCCAGCCTCCTATACTGAGCAAGACTATGTAAGAAAAGAGAAAAATGGGGAGAGAGGAAGAAGAAAAAAGAAAGGACAGGCCAGGGCAGGAAAGGAAAAATGAAGGGGCAAAGGAAAACAAAGAGGGGAAAGGAAAAAAGGGGGGGTGGTATGGACCTCAGGCCACAATGAGACTCTGTACCCAAGACTCCATCACCTAGCAGGACCTCTGTGACCTCATGCTGCAGTAAGTCACAGCCCAGGTCAGGGGACTTGCCTCCCTGGGGAGCTTGGGGTTCCTGCAGCAGCCACAACCCTGCACAATCCCTCCCATCCCCCACCATGCTGGTCAGTACTCCACACATGCTAACACTGGATGAAGCAGATGCCACTTGGGCCCTCATCAAAGATAAGGTAGGTAAAGTAAGGAGGCTAAAGAGGAAGTGACAAAATGGGACCTGGAAGAGGCAGGAAGCCCAAAATAGTAGCAGTAGCAACTGACACATAAAAGATACAAAATAAATACCTCAATGAATTAGCCAATGGATGGGTAGATGAACAACATACTAATTAACAGCAGAGCATGCAAAATCCAGGAGAGGAAAAAGAAAAATGTGCCTTCCCAAGTTGAAATCACCATCTTAAACCAGCATCCACCAGACTCAAAGCAGCCTGGATGGCATTTAACTGCCATTTCTTAGGAAGATGCCAACACAGAGCCCTGGGAGGCAAAACACAGGAGAGCAAAAAGGTCTTCCCAAGAATTAGTCACCGATTTCAATAGTGCTGAAGTTCGGGCCTAGACTAGACTAATTAGAATTTTAATGAAAGTAAATGGGGTCTTCCACTACAGAAGAAAGGAATCCTCACTACAATACCTCAATGAAGAAGTTGGAGCAGTAAAGGGCACCTTGAATCATCTTTCTTTCTTTCAATACTACAGGGCAGCATTTCAAAGACAGCTTCATGTCACAAAAAATGCAGAACAGTTTTAGGGGACCACTGGGGGGATGTGATGTAGGAGCACAGACATGAGAGGTTTGGGGAAAGAGCAGATCACTTCAATCATGGGCACAAACATGAAGAACCAAAGGAGGAATCTCAGGGTATCCTTATTCTCTAGCATAACTCAGAGCCATCAGGCTCAGCCAATGAAATTCTGAATGGGTCAAAATTAAAACTGCTAAGCACATACAATTACTAAAGCGGATTCTACAGGCTTCCCAGCTACTCTCCAGAACTGGTTATACCAAGCACACAAACCCCAAAAAGAAACAAGGAACAAAGGACAAACCTAAGGAACTGGTAACCTAAGTGCATACTGGAACAATATGAAGATCAGGCCTCAAATTCACTAAAAGATCTCTCCTTTGCAGTGCAGCTGGGGTAGAAAATACACTAATAGGTAACTGTCACAGTCAGAGACAAAGAACTTATATTATAAACCTATTTCTATGTACCCATTCTTTGCTAATATTACCCATGTAACCAATCCGCTAGGCATGACCCTTGACAATTCCTTTTTTCTTTTCCACACCCATTAAGAGACCAAGTTCTCCCAATTCTGTAACTCAATCCTTCCCATTATTTTAGTCCAGGGACTCATGTTTTGCTTATATAATTGCAAGTGTTAAATCACTTATTTTGTGCTCATTAAAAATCGGCCTTCTAAAACATCTTCCTGATCCTGTCTCTTCTACCCAGGGCCTACAAGTGGCTTCCCACTGGCCTCAGGTCAAAATCCCAGTCCCTTAGAAAGGGCACACACAAGGCTTTTCTTTCATAGCTTTGCTCCTGTGTCTTTCCCTTTTTTTTGCCTTACATGCAAGCCACATGAAATGTGTTGCTGCATGTGCCATGATTTAAAGGTTCAGGGTTTTTTTACTGGTTGTCCTTTCTACCAGGAGTGACCACTGTCCAATTTGTTTAACTCCTCCAAAGTTCAAGTACTTCCACCTAGAAACCTTCTTTGGTCCTCTTTCTATCAAAGACAAAGGCTGTTAAATCCCTTGTCCTCTTCACACCCTGCTATTAATTTACTTAGCTAACTACTTACTGTCTACACTTGTCTCCTCCATTACACTGAGCTACATTAGGACAAGGATAAAGTCCCACTCTTTCATGTATCCTAGTATCTAGCATAATCAGGCACAAAATAAGATGTTCAAGGTTTTGCTATAGGAAGGAATGGGGAGATAAGAATAAGTCTAGGCCTATTGTACAGATGGATTTTAGTGAACAATGGTGGGAAGGCCAATTTAGACAACACAAGTTAACCTTCTGACTTTAACTCATTCCCTGACTTATAAACTGCCACCTGCAGGTCATCGAGGAACGCTTTGGGTCCAGTGTAGTGGCAGTACCTTTCCTGTCTGCTGCAGCCTGCTATGACCTACTGGGCGTGCTAGTGAAACAGTCCCATCCAGCCCGCACCCGCCTGGTTTTGCCTGGTCGGCAGGGCCGAAGGGCATTGAAATCAGTAGGGCTGCTACCAAATCTTCTAGAAGAGGCAGGGTGTGAGGGTGTCTTTGCCCACTGCACTCAGGAATACTCACCAAATGGCCGCGCTGAGATAACCTATGAAGAAACACGGGTGCTGGAAGGGCAGCCCTGCCGGATCCACCTACACATGGGGGGCCTGCACAAGAAGGTTGCCTTCCTGCTGCTGCCACCAGGGCAGGTGAGCCTACAGCCAACTCTTCCCTGGCTCCGAAGCACCCACAGCATCTATGTCATCTACCAGGTCTTCTCCTGCACCTGGCTACAGCTAGGGCTGTTACCTACAGCCCACGAGCCCCAGCTCCTCCGTTTACAGCAGTCACTGCCTGTTGCCTTCTCCTGCCTCAAGTTTTCACTGCAGCCCAAGGGTGTGCTGGGACCACAGAAGTCTCTGACTAAAGACCCATTGCCTCATGGGGCCTGCTGGGTTAGACCTAGCCTTAGCATCATATCAACTCTGGCCACAACATCAGCACCTACTGATATCCCTGAAGTTGCTGATGAGTCTCCACCTGTCCCAGCCCCACCTATACCACCTCCCCAAGAAGGGCCAGAAGGCAGACCCACCAGATTCTCCTACAAGGGCCGAAACCCCTTCCGGAGGGGCCCCTATGTGCTTTCAGGTACTGCTAGGGGAATGAAGAAGAGGGATAGGACAGACAAATGGAGGGCAAGGGCATAGGGAACATAACCCAGGAATGGGTTCAGAATCCTAGAATGTGTATAGGACCCTGGTGAAGGGATGGACTGAGGGAGCAAAGGGAGGGTAAAGTAGAAAAATGGCCATGGTAAGGCTACAGGGGCAGCACAGAGGACCAGAGGGAGGGACTAGGGAGGAAGATGAGGACACGAGTCAAACTGTGACTATCCCCAACCCTAGCAGACAACTGGCTCTTCAGTCCCCGCAGCCCCCCACCAGGAGCTCAGGGTGGGGGCCCTGGGGACCCCGACGGGCACTCCATGTCCCTGCCCCTGCTACAGGGTCTGTCCTCAGAGTTCAACAGCGACGAATGAAGCTGAGGCAAGAAGTGCGGGGGCCAAGGCCCCCAAGACCTGGCATAGACTGGTCCCCAATAAACATCAGCTGTTGCTCCCCCAAAGCACCCTGGGCCTGTGTGCTTCTTCCTTCCAAGGTCTAGAAAAAGTCCCCATTTTTCTCTAAGCTTCAAGTTCTCTCACCCTCTACAAGCAAAAGGGCTATCTTGAAACCCTGTCAGTGTCATCATCAGAGAGAAAATACCCCTGATGATCTCCCCATCTATGTACAACCTTCACAGTAAAGGGGGGGCAAAGAAGAATGAGCACAGAATAGAGATTTCCCTTTTATACATATTGCAACAAGTTCTCATAAAACATTCATCTGAAATAAATTAAAAAGTCCATTTGCCACTGCCTCCAAACATAAAAAGGATCCCATGTCCTGGAACTCAGGCCAGGCCACCAAAGGCCGTGATTGTCCATGGAAGAAAATTAAGGATTGAGGAGCCCAAAGCCTGATATGGGCAGGCCAGATACCTCCTCTGAAGTATCCAACAAGAAAGGCGAGGTGACGGCATGAGCCTGGGAGATGGCAGCCAATTCCTTGAGAAACTCAGGGAAAATCACTGCACAGTAGACAGCATTCTTGACTCGCAGAGCCTCACCTTGGCGCTCAGAGGCCCCACCCCGGGGAAGCAGAACTGGAGTTGAAGCCCCAGGAGAGCCCCCACCTAGTCCAAGTCCTGGTCCATCTCGCCCAGGTTGAAGAACCTGTGCCGCCTGCCGGGCCCTGGTAGGACTGTGTGCATGCCGCAGGAGTAACTCCCCCAAGGATGGCCTCCGGCTCCTCACTGGGAATAAATAGGGGTATCAAGAAGGTGCTGGGATCAGGGAACCTGCCCTAGCTGGGAGAGCAGATTCTCCAACTCCCTAGTACTACAACTTCTCCACTAGGGTTCTGGAAGAATGGAAGAGACTGACAAGAAATGGACCTCAGTTCTGGGGTCCATTTCTTGTCTTATCTCATCCTAACACCAAAACGCTGCCTGCTCAGCCTTTTCCCCTCTATCCAGCCTCTTCACCAGCCAACCATCAACCTCAGTCTTAACCAGCCAACACTTGAGCCACTTTATTCCAAGCCATCACTCCTTCCTTCCATGCCCCCTCCTCTGAAGAATTCTTGCTGATTACTATTCCAGCATCACCAAGATCTCTCTCCTTAATCCACAACATGCCTTTACTTACTGCTTCCTATCATCCTCCAGAACAACAGGTAACCACTTCTACTTTCCTCTCCCTACCTACAGCTGACATATATCCTCTGTTCCTTTAACACTGACAGGGGCTGTATGTGCACCAGAGGCTGTAATGCAATCACAGTCCAGAGACTACTTCACTACCCCTCTGCTCTGCTCTCTTACACAACCACTTCACCATTCAATCAGTCCCATCACACCCACCAAAACCTTCCTTCCATTGGCTGTGCCCAGACAACTTCATGTCAACTTGGATTCAAATGACCTATCTGAAACACTGTCCTCTGTCTAATTTTCTGTCAGACCCCTAGGTCTGGACCTATGATCACTATCTAGTCTAGACTCTAGTCCTTGGCTCATAAGAGTTTCATTTCCTACCTCTAATACTGGTTACAGAGCTAACATTCAGATTTATTAACCTGGCATTCAGGGCCCTTCTCAACCAGGGTCTCACTCCTCCTCGACCTCTTCTTAAACTCTCCAAACCCCACCTTACTTTGTTTCCAATACCTATCTGTTTTGGACCCAATGGTACCTTACATGGCTTTCTCTGGCTACATTTTGCTCTTTCTGCTTTTTCTACCTTTCTGGACTATTGTCCCTACCTGAGAGAACCTCTGAAAACCTTCCTGCAATTTTCCGTCCCCTGACTTCCTGTTTCACTTCTCCTTATCTCAACATTAATAATTTCTTTCCAAGTCTTCTATCCCATGCACTAAATGGTGAACTCAAGAACTTAGACTGTCATATTTAATCCTTATCACCACAACCACTGACCAAAGTCTGCCAAAATTTCTTTTGCATTTCTGCCTTATCAAGGGATTCTGTTCTTTCCTACTACATAATTCAAGTCTTCATTGACTGTTCTTCCTGAATTCCTTCTCTTAGCTCACTTCACCTTTGTTCCCCCTAAAAGATCACAACTTCTGCCCAGTATGACTTCCACTCCATGAGCCCTTTAGCCAAATCTTTCCAGCCTCTTATCCACTGTGGCAGAGACTTTCACACCCCTGCTCCAATTAAAGAAATCCAGGATGTCTCCTAACAAAAGAATACAGAACATTTCTATGCCTGCCTAATTCCTATCCATCTCTCACAAGAACTTATGTTATGTCCTCTCTTAAGCTCTTACAATATTTCAACCTAGAGATTTTGTCTCCTTCCTTGTCTCTACACCCTAATGCAATTTTTTTTTCTTTTGGTCTTTTTGAGACAGGGTCTCCCTGTAGCCCCGGCTGGCCTGGAACTCACTATGTAGACCAGGCTGGCCTTGAACTCAGAGATCTACCTGTCTCTGCCTCCCAAGTGCTAGGATTAACGGCACACACCACCACGCCCAGCCCTACTGCAATTTTTACTAATACTTATGATTGAGCTCTTAATAAAACTACTCTAGCATCTAACCCAAAACCTGACAACAAACATGAAGACTCAAATTTTCTATAACTCTCCAACTTCTGGAATACAGTTTCACCTTTATTAAGAGCTCAAATACCCTGGGCTAATGAGATGTCTAGGAAGGGGAGAGAAGAAATGGGAGGATAGGCCTCACCTAGGGGATCAGAGCGGCGGGGAACAGGTCCTGCTGTAGGGCCCTCAGCCCAGTCCAACTTGCCACGGGCAATGAGGTACTTCTTGGCTTTGGATAACAGAGCAGGGAAGTCGTCCTGGGAGGCTGCAAAGCTCTCAATCTTGTTCTTCACTGAGCCCAGCACCTATAAAGCACAACTTCATAACATTTCCGGTGGCTCTAAATTGATGCAGGCCTTACTAGCCCCACTGAGCCTGTTCCCAGCCCACCCAAGGTCACTCTAGCTTCAGGCCTGGCCCACCACTGAGCCTGGACGCACCCATGCATGCATGCATCGCACACCTGCAACAGGGACTTGACACTGGGCTGGAAGACCATGTTGGTGTTGAGCAGGAAAGAGCGGAGCAGGGGCTGGGGGTGACAGGCCAGCTGGGCCACCAGCCCCGTCAGCAGGAAGTTGACATAGACGGAGTTCTGCAGCATGTTCTCGAGTTTGGCAAAGAGCACAGCCATGAAGGGGCCTGGGAGGGGGTGGGCACAAGGATACAAGGCCTAAACACAATGCACATCGCACGCATTCCACCCCCAACAAGAGACCCCCACTAATGAAATTAAATGTTGGTATCTGAGCGTCTTTAAATGACCTGCAACCACTTATTCTGGAACAAATAAGGTAGCAGACACCACACGGACCCATATAAGTCCAGATGCCTTCTTCACACACACTGTAAGTGAAGAGCCAGATCTTAGGCTCTGGAGTCAGAGATCTCATTTCAGATTTCAGCTTCACCCTGTGACTGGATAAGTGAAAGCTCTCTAATGTTTAGTTCCCTACTTGACAAAGTAAAGAAATATACCTACCTCGCAAAATGATTAAGAGGACCAAAGAGATAGCAGTATGAAACATTACATCTAAGACCTGGCAAAACTTTTGTTTCATTATAATCACAAGCAGTATTCTAATTCTCGGTTTTAAGGCAGGTTCACCCAAGAAACCACAGAACAAGCAGAGAGAAGCAAAATGCAGAATCAGGTTCCACATAAGACAACGAAGCACTAAAATGATCAGGGAAAAAAAGCAAGAGAGACGCAAAAAGCACAAAGGGACCATCAACTTCAAAGTGGGGGTCGTGGAGAAGTCAGGAATCACAGGGATAGACTAGACTGCGCAATAAACGTACAGCTTAAAGGACACAAAAAACTGACGCAGGAGAGACTGGTAGAGAGAAGATGATAGAGATCAGCACTCTCTACTGGGAGAAATACCTCAGGACACGACCACATCACTAGAACGGCATTTCTGATGGATTTTTAGAGGAAAAGGAATATTACCTAAAACTGTACCATCAATTGTGATGAGAGAACAATGAAGGTTGTGACCACATCACTAGAACGGCATTTCTGATGGATTTTTAGAGGAAAAGGAATATTACCTAAAACTGTACCATCAATTGTGATGAGAGAACAATGAAGGTTGTGAATCCTGAAAAAGATCTAACACAACCACCTGCTCCAAGTGTCCATATGACTAGTCTTAGTTCAATAACAACACTAGCTTAACAGAGTTGACTCTAAAATAATCCATAACTTTGTCCTTTTGTCCTTCATTCCCTGGGAGTTTACAAAGAAAAACAAAAGAAAGAAGCATCAATGAATACTTCAAGACTGTGACAAAACCTGCAAACCACCTCCCACTGGTACTGAGCAGGAAAGGAGCAGAGGCTAAATGGGCAAAAAGATATTTTTCTATAGTTTTGAGAAGGAAAATTACTCCAGAGTAGAAGCCCCAGTGCTGTATCAGAAGAGTAAGCATATGCCAGGTCTTAACAGGATACATGGCATCAAAACTTGACTGCCAACAACTAGGATGGTTGGTTGCCTTAGTCAACTTAGATCTGCCATGACCCAGAGTTCAAATCGAGTAAAAAGCTACCATTTGTTGAGTTCTCACAGTGTGCCATTATCAAGTGATTTATATGTACCAATGACAGGCAGAATGCTAAATTAAGAGGGGGCCCTAATCCAAAGCCTAAGGTCTTAGCCCTATCCACTGCACTGCATTTTCCACGCTAGGGTGTAGATTAGAGCCAGATGAAGTCTAACTCTTAAAAAAAAACAAAGACCTAGCTCAACAACTCAGGTTGGGTCTAATCCCTGGCATATCAACCCAAGGGCTCATTTGGGGCACTCAGAAGCATCATTTGTCCTCAAAGAGGAATCTCAATTTCAGTCTCCCTCCCCAGCCCGTGTGTGTGTGTGTGTGTGTGTGTGTGTGTGTGTCTGTCTGTCTGTCTGTCTGTCTCCACCTCCCCACCCCCATTAATCACAAGTCCTT